CTGACATAATTGTTCTTATTCACCTTAGTCGATTCGTGTCTAAATTTCCACAACAACATTCTTTTTTTCTTGCAACAAACTTTGATTCCGCGTGATATCCATTTACATTTATAATTTACTTGTATCTTTGATATTGTTTGCGGAAAGCACATATCGTAGAATAATTTAAAGTTGTCTATAAAATATGAATATGCAATATCTGTATCATTAATGGTATACAGTTCTGAGAAAGAAAAATTCTTGATGCACATTTTAAATTTATCAATGTTTTCTTTACAATAATTTCGTTCCGTTTTATACCAGTATTTAAATTTGAAGACCTTTTTTATCGGGAGTATTATTAATTGGGCTGTATGATCTGATAAACCAAATTCCAACACTTCAGTCTTACATTGTTTTTTAAAATCATGGGCAAAGTTGTCTATACAAGTCAGACTAATTAGTCTAGTAGGCTGTTTTATAGCAAGCCTCAAGTTAAAGTTTAACAACAAACATTCGAAGTCTAGTGATACATTATTACTTTTTAAAATGTCAATATTAAAGTCCCCAGCTATTAAAATATTATTACATTTTATTTTCGTAATGAGCAAAAGAACTTTTTCAAGCTTAGTAAGAAATGTAGCCAAATTATTTGAATTCGGCACTCTATAGACACAGACTATAACTACTTTGTACATAATATCATTATTTTAATATTCATAAATACATACAAAATGAAACCTCATACTCTACATTCTCATAAGAGATAAGCAAAGGTGCATATTTAATTATTTGTTTTACATAAAATATACCTCTACGTACATAACAATAATTCCCTGAAGAGATAATTAAAAAAATTGCAAAAAACAACAAAAAATTTGCTAGTCTAGTTTTAACAACTAGACTAGCAAAACAGGATAAACCATGCTGTACAGTATTAATAGATTCGGTTAAAAACTAAAACGATAACTATGTAACTAACGATAAGGGAAGGAAATTTTAATATTACCTGATTAACGCAAAAATACATGAAAGATCCTATTATTATTAATTATTGTTATTAGTACCTATTAAGGAGGACCACACCACAAACCCACAAGCAGCGAAGTGAAAACAATTGTTATATTCTTTACAAATGTGGAAAGGGTTGTACCTCTTCTTGTTCAAATGTCTACAAGTGACCACTACTAACCAAAAGCTTCTCTCTTTCACACGGAAAAGGTTTAAGCATTAATCACAACGCTTGCTCAATGCGTATTAGAGATTTCAAAGTTATAATTAGAAATTATAAGCATAGGTTTCCTCACGACTGCCTCGTTGGCCGAGTGGTCGCATGTGCGACTGCCGGGCAAGGAGTCGCGGGTTCGATGCCCGGGTCGGGCAAATATTACCGGGTTTTTACAAAATCTCAGTAGTAGCACGGAGTCTGGAAATGTGCCCGGTATATGGCAATAGGCTCACCCCTTATTACATGGGACTCATAACATAAATAGTGAAAAGTGGGTGCTACTTCTGCGTGCACCTCTGCCTACCCTTTCGGGGATAAAAGGCGTGATGTTATGTTATGTTGTCTATGTTTCCTCAAGATGGTTTACCTTCATTTGTCGGTGGTGTCTAAATAATCTTAGAAAGTACATATAACTCTGAAAAGGTCACTTTGATTCTTGTCGTTAGTAGGTTTCCACCCCGCATCCTCGTGCATGAGAAGCGGGCGTCATAAACCAATTACAAATTATAAGCATAGGTTTCCTCACGAAGGTTTTCTTTCACTTGTCGGTGGTGTCTAAATAATCTTAAAAAGTACATACAAGGTGTAGTTTTGAAACCGTGGCATTTTTCGAGGGCATGTCACAGAAGTCATAAAGGTTCAATGTAAAAGAAATTTTCGGGCCAATAGTTAAAAATACGGCTATAATAAATCGTTAAAGTTCGACAGTATTTCAGAATAAGCGACAGCAATGTTTCTTATTGGAGTTTTATGGAGTTAGGAATAACATCAATTACGTGTTTGGGTTGGTAATTTACAGAAAAATGAAAAATATTTATGTACAATTTTTTTATTGATTCCGACTCAGAATCGATAGCCGAGTTACCTCCTAGATAATGACGCGGCTTTAAAATAACACCGTGTATAACTCTGAAAAGGTCACTTTGAATCTTGTCGTTAGTAGGTTTCAAGCCCGCATCCTCGTGCATGAGAAGAGGTCTTAAACCTTCTCGACACACTACGACATACATATTTACATAGCTCGTTATAAACCGAAAACTGTTCTATTATATTACAATGGTTGATGATACATCTATTCAGATAAATATTTGAGTGTCTGTTGGTAAAATTAAAATAACAGCTTTTTACTTCATGTTTATGAATATACATACGATACCCATACTCAAATACTTTTTTCACAATTTTTGTCTATCTGTTTGTACTGGCTAATCTCTGGAATAGCTGGACCGTTTTTGACAGGACTTTTTTTAGCAGGTAGCTAATGTACTAAGGAGTAACATATGCTACTTTTATTTTGGAAAAATGAAACAAAAAACAGTTATTTCCTAAAATTCATATTTTAGCTAGTTAATGTATAAATATATAATACAACATAAAATATCTTGGTTCTTCTAAGTTAAGCCGATGGTGATTTAATACTAGTGTATTATTTAACGTAATATTTATTCTTAGTTATAACTCTTACTAGTAGCTACATCATCTTCACAATTTATTTTCATACTGTACAATATTTAAATTCGTAAAATTATGATTTGTTCGACATGAAGTCAACTATAAATATAAAAATAACCACATAAGTTTCCTTGAATATATTTTATGTAAATAATAATATTATAGGATTATCCCAGAATTCGCATTGTAATACTTAATTATACATTTTAGAACACAAGCATTACTGAAAAATTTATTCACAAACATATAAATAAATAAGTCTCATTAATTCAATAATTTGTAGTGTGAAAATAAATTATGATTTCATATTGAAAGGATGATGAAATTTTCATATTAGAAAACAACAATAAATATTTGATTCTTAACTCGTCGAGTACCGGTTTTGTAGACACAATTATAGAACAATAGGTTGCGGTCACCGGTGCCCGCTTGGTGTTTGACAGTTTAATTTACTTCTTTAATTAAATAACATCACGCCTTTTATCTAGGCAGATGTGCACATTACAGCATTTAAGGCCCCTGTAGAATGCAACACCCACGTTTCACGATTTATTTATGAGTCCCATTTATTAGGGGGTGAGCCTATTGCCATATACCGGGCACATTTCCAGACTCCGTGTTACTACTGAGATTTTTAAAAACCCAATAACATTACCCGACCCGGGAATCGAACCCGAGACCCCAAGTCCTTTATTTTATAATACTCAATATTCGTTAAAAGAAGATTCCTCTTATTTTATCATTTACAATGTCTAGGGTAGGCCTCCTTTTTCGTCCTCCCCAGGCAAGGGGGCTCCATAAGGATTTTCCACTTAGGCGTCACAAAAAAAGGCCTTTTACTTTTAGTCTCTCTCCTCTTACTTCAGTTTTCAGTTTAAACTTCTTAGTAAAAGAATTTGAATCAAAATTATTGACAGTTCTCATCTCAGTGAGGTTGACTTTGATAACGTTAATGATTGCCTCATCCGTCGAGTGGTTTTGAGACCAACTGTTGAGTCAGGGTTGAACTTTGCTCCGACACATTGGACTGGAATTTTCTATTTTTAACTTTTATTTATTTTTATGGGATAAGCCGGTAAACGAGCAAACTGACGCCCATGGACACCTGAAACACTAGCCAGAGGCGTTACAAATGAGTTACTGGGCTTTTGGAAATTGTGGAGGATTCAGGGATTGAGGAGAATGGGGCGGGGGGTAATTGGGCTTTCGGTAACCTCACTGACACGACGAAACACAACGCGAGCGTTGTTTCCACGTCGGTCTTCTGGGAGGACGTGGTATCGCTCCGGCCAATAATTACCATAAATACTTATAATTACCATAGTCTGTCAATGTCAGAGTTGTAATTATACAAGATTCATAGCAATAGGTTCACAGGACGATCTTTTATTAGTGTTCAGAGAACTCATACAAAAAAGTGAATGTTGCCCAGTGCCTAATTTTCCTTGCCTGGCTGGTTGACACCTTCGAGGAATATAAAATATTATCATGAGTTTTGGCTCGGCCCCAAATTAATATGAGTAGAGAAGTAGTAGTAAAATGAAAGATGAAAAAATACACAACACATGTAGATAAAATTATTAGTTTATCTTTCATTGTTAAATAAAATCTCTGCTTGCCTCTTGCACTTACCATTTACTCTTCTCTGCATCACCCAAAGGTCAGACTGGTAGAAAATGCCTGCGGCATTAAGTCCACCTTTTTGTACATTTTGTGCATGAAGCATATTAAATAAACAGATAAAATTATTGTAGTTTCGGAATAATTCAATAATCTAAAATTCTATTTTGTTCCTAGCCTGGGTTGCGAGTGAGACTAAACATAGGTACCTATACATTTATACTGTGCCTATACCGAGGCATAGGGCAGAAGTTCGATTGGGATGGTTTTTAGTCAGACAGAGTCTGATATTACCCACACACACAGTCCCATTCCATCCAGAGCAGAATTGTTTGATGATAATAAAACAGTCTCGTTGTGTTTTCAAAATAGACATGATTGATAAAAATAACACACTCAATTTGTAGCTCAGATCAGAAGAAATGTATCGTTTTAGCTAATCTAAATAAACAGTGTTAGCCTCGAGCATTAGCATGTGACGTAGGGACGTTATCGATCCAATTAAAACTTAAATTATCTTCAGGAAACCGTTATTACTCGTGTGGGATTGATATGCATCGAAATATAATTGTGAGTCGTTAGGTTGTTATTGATTACGATGTAACTAGCAACTGTAGCGCGGTTTCACTCGCCACACAGCTCCTATTAATTGTAGCATGATCCTTTGCCTATGATCTTCCTCGATAAAAAGATTCATCCTCATCAATAATTTTTAAATTTGATCATTTAGCTTTTGAAATTAAAACGTTGCACCGAGAGACAAACTAACAATCAAACAAACTCTTGAGCTAAATAATATTAGTATAGAGGTAGATTACAACAAATTTAACTGCAGTAGAGTTATTATTTTATGTTATTGACATTGTACAAACGAGCGGGGCAAGTGGAAGAGTAGTCGCCACAAACAACAGTATACCTACTTATAATAATCTGAACTATAACCGATACATTGCACTATTTAAAGTAACTAGTACTACGACAAGTCTACATAATTATTTACATCTCAAGTACTCTACATCAAGATGGGGCGTAAAGTAAGGTTGACTGCGTTTGCTGTAGTACTTTTGACGCAGATGTTTTATTTCTGCGAATGCTATTTAAGGGAAGGTGACCAGGGTGTTTGCTTGGAACACTTGAGAACCTACGATTGGTAAGCTTTTTATTTTATTCATAACTAGCTGATGCCCGCGGCATCGCTTGCGTGGATTAAGGACTACCTACAAACTTCGACCCCTATTTCAATTCATATTAAGTAAAATTTCCAGAACTTTTTGTTCATTTTTGGCTATTTTCTGCGCAACTTTGCCGCGTAGAATTTCATTATTTGACTTAATTTTTTTAGCCTACACATATGTTATATACATGGTGAGATAAACAGATTTCTTTAATTTCAATAATGAATTCTATTACTGTTTTAGATAGTTTATAAAATATATTATTTGTACACACGCGATATTTTTACTCGTATTTTAATCGTGACAAATAGAGAATATCTTGTCTGTAGACTAATGTGAAAATGTTAACACTTATCTATTTATTTATTAAAACATAATGAAAGTTACTATACAATACCAATAATAGATATGACTAAAATAGTAATAAAAAGTGAGATTAAGTATTTACAAAAAAATGTTAAAAAGATTCCATTCGGAGAACAAATGCTTCTCTAATTTTTTTATAGTTACGATTTATTTACCGACATAGCATACATACAGAGCATACATGAAAAGATTGATGACTGTTGATGAATCGAAAGAGGTATGTTGGAATCGTAGCAATTAGCGATCCATAGTCTCTGCCTGGAGGCGAAAGTGCTCGGCACGTCGCCAGGGCGCAACTCGGCTGCCGCGCCAGATTTGCATTTACATTTGGCGGGAAGAGCTCCAGCGCGAACTTATGGCGGAATGGCAGCAACGACTGTCGCAACCGAGGGCTGGGCTCGCTGCCATTGCAGCGGTAAGTCCCCTCTTTGAGGAGTGATTTGAGAGACGCTACGGCGTCCTCACCTACCGCCTGACGCAGGTCCTCACCGGACATGGGAGCTTCGGGAGGTACCTGTGTCTGATAGGGCGGGAGGAAAATTCCAGGTGTCATCACTGCGAGGACCGCCCTGAGGACACGGTGGAACACACAGTAGGGGAATGCCCTGCGTGGGCTAAGCACCGCCGTACCCTCACGAACGCGATCAGCAACGGCGACCTCTCGCGTCCGGCCCTAGTCCCCGTCATGATGTTGAGCGAGGGGAACTGGGATGCCGTCATGCCAAAATGATAAAGTAACTTAGAACAAATATTACAGTATAAAACAAACTCGTTACCGCCGTCTTTATATCTCTATGCTTAGATGTTTAAACTAAGCAACATATTGTGATTAGTTTTATATTTATAAATAGACTGATTGAAGAACAAGGTTTACTTGATAATTCCAAATTTAATATGTGTGAAGCTGCAGGCAAAAGCTTGCCCATAATATTCCTTGAATTACTTCCATTTAACCGATTAATGAGCCTTAATGTTCTTCTCAGTTTTTTCAGTAATGATTGATATTGATAACGATCCTTGAACTTCGTAGAATGTGCACGGATGTGGCCGGCGAAGCCGAACTTTGTTATAAATACATAATGCGGTCACAGATAACATACTAACACTGGCCATTGTCATTGCGATTAAATTGTAAGGTCAAATAAACATATTATTTTAAAAAAGCGTTGCCTCAAACTATGATTTGCTCTTCTATCATGGACGCGTTTACTAACAGCTCAAATATACCCTTTTTTAAGAGGGGAAAGTCATCCTTTGACTTCTCCCGCCTTGGGTGAGGCGAGAGAGTGTCAGACTCCTACTGACTAAAAACCACCCCGTTCCTACACCCTCTTACAGCCGGAGCCCCGGCAACCAGATAGGTTGTCCGCAGCTCCGGCCTTAAATATAGCTACTTTACAACTGAAATGTGTCCAGGGAATTGGAATTGTACGTATATTAATATCCTGTTAGATATATAAAATGAAATACCTATATGTACAATTAAATGATACTTTTTCTTTATTAGGTCCAATCCTTCCTATTCTTCGATCACAGTCGAAAAGGTACGTATCTATCTATCAAATATTTATTTTTAAAGTAAATGGTGAACTCATTATTCACTCGACAGTACTAATTGATCATAGGCGCTTCTCTCTCAGGTTCAATTGCCGGGTTAGGCAAAATACAATAGTGTACATTCGATTTTTTCGAAAAATTCTAAAGTTATCATATATATTGGGGGTTAGTAATACCTAAAACCAGATTACCCCTTCAATGAATAAGTTAGCTGTACTGCAATTCAGACTGTCCAAGGTACGGAAATCCTTTATGGGGTTAGGAATTAAATGCTATAATAAAATACCAAATAGCATACTAGATCTCAATGAAAGTAAATTTAAAACATATATTAAGCGCGAATTATGTAAACAAGCTTACTACAGGGTGATTGATTATCTTGAGGATAGGAATGCTTGGCAGCGTGTTGGTTCGGCTCCACTGGACAATACTCAAATGTAGTCAGTACCTAGTTCAGATTACGATAATAGGTAATTTAACACTTTGATTCCGATGAAGGCAATCTATTTTTCTTGTGGCATCGAGCATTTCTTTCTTTATTTAAACAATAGTTTATTTTTTATTTTTATAGAAGCACTATTTTATATGGATTGTCAGTATACATATGTGAGGACCATGTCAGACTTAAGATATTTGTTTTCTCTTGGTTTTGTTTTTTTTTTTCTATTTTAGTATGTTTTGTTATTTGTATGTTGCGTCAGGTATGTCTTTACATTATTCTCACATGTGTGTACAATATTGGAATATGTATCAGAGCAATGTAAAACAGACTTTGTTAAAAAGAGTAACGAATGGAGTTTCTTGCTCGTTCTTCTCCACTCGAATCGACATTTTGGAACGAGCGCCTAGCTTCACTGACGGACAGACTGACAGACTATTATATATCTCATATTTGTTGACGTTTCAAAAGTACCAAATTATGGTCTAATTGAAATAAATGCTTTTGAGTTTGAGTTTGAGTTTGAATTAAGTCGCGAGTTTGAGATTCAGATTCAATTTCCAGGTCACACAAAGCGCTATTTAGTTTTCGATTTTTGTAACAGCAAGAAATTCGGTGTATGGCAATAAGCATAAACATCCTCTTGATCCTATAAAATAAAATCCAAAAACTGTATGCTACATACTTTAATACCACCTTATTCCTTGATTAAAACTAGAAAATGTGTTGTTCTGTGAACTTATCGATACATTTACATTTTACAGGATGAAAGAGGATCCCACTACACTACTCTAACATGCTGCAGGAACTATGAGTACGATGCAGATGCTGATCGATGTCTTCCAATATGCAGTACTCCTTGCATAAATGGGACATGTATTGACGTGGACACCTGTATTTGTGATACCCCACTGGTCCTGGTAGGCAGTAGCTGTATTATGCCCACTTGCACGAACTGTGAGCACGGAGACTGTACCGCAACAAACGTTTGCGAATGCCACCCAGGGTACATAAGATCTGAAGGTATCTGCAAGAAATTCTGCGACAAACCATGCATCAGTGGAGAGTGCGTAGGACACAATGTATGTAAATGCCATGAAGGTTTCATGCTAGACCCCATTGACCCCTTTAAATGCATCCCTTGTGATAATAACCATGAATTAAAATGTACTGTGACCTGCCGTCATGGTTACTGCTCACCACCTACTGCTTGTTCCTGTGTGCCTAGGAAGAAGAGCTCGATATTTAATTTTTAAGTTTAATACAGTTTATTAACCGACTTCTTTTATAATTATCTTGTAATGAAACGGCTTTTAAATTTAGTTGTTCTGTTTTTTTCAATCAAAGACATCAAACTGTATTTGCTTTCATTACATTACATTACTAAACTACCAAATGTGTTTTTAACCTTTTTTTTGTTTTTTTTTTCTACTTCTAAAGAGACTAAAGTCTGCATATTGTTAGCATTGTTGTTTGCTAGCAATATGTAGATTGAAATTAAACTCATGACAAAAATCATAATGCCTTATTTGATTATGGTTTAACCCATCCCGTGACGTAACGCAGAGAGTGTTTTCTATTGTGTCTCATATACCAGCAGACAAGAAGTTAAATCGTTAAAACTGTACCCGCAACTTCGTCTATATTTTTCTAAAATAAAAGTAGTCTATGTTACTCCTTAGTACATCAGCTACCTACCACAAAAGTCAAAATCATTCCAGTCATTTCATAGATTATCCAATACACAACAGACAGAGAGACAACAATTGTAAAAAGTGTTACTTTGGTATATGTAGCGTATGTATATTGATTTAAAAAGCGGATATTTTAATATTATAAACAGAAACATCATCGCATACCACCAGGCGAGATAGTGGTCAAATGTCGGCTCATCATCTACAGCCAATAAATGCCCACTGCTGAGCAAAGCCTCTTCTCACACGGAGAACGTTTGAGCATTAATCACCACACTTGCTCAATGCGGGTTGGTGATTTCAATCATTAGAAATTATAAGTCCAGGTTTCCTCACGAGGTTTTCCTTCGCCGTTTGTCAGTGGTATCAAAATAAGCTTAGAAAGTAACTACATATAACTCAGAAAAAGTCACATTGGTACTAGCATTGGTAGGTTTCAAACCGGCACCCTCATGCATGAGAAGTGGGCGTCTTAAACCTCCGGGCCACCCCGACATGGCACATCAAATATAAAAAAGCCACTCTAATTTTATTTATTTGTTCCTTTTTACAGGTTCGGCGACGTGACATCTACCTATATCTCTAGTATTTCACAGCTTAACTACTTTAATTTATAAGACTGTAAAATAATACTATTATACTGGGGTACTAGGTACCAGACTAAGTAAATTAGATTATTAGTTCATGTTAGGTACTAAAGAGGTTCCAATGGAGCATAATTTCAAAATCTTGATGTCGAAGCGTCAATTGAATCTAGATTGGGAACGTCAAGTGATAACTTGATGGTGGTTAGCGCGGAGTAAAGGCAATATCGATAATCCACCCGGAAGATTAGATTTTGACATTGACAGATTTGAGACATTGACAGGTAATCACTTTTTTTTATATAACTTTTGTTTTCCTCCGCGGACTATTGTCCGTGCCCTTGTCATTTAATTACATTTTTCACGGTAATGACGTTAATAGTTGTCACGTAGGCACGGGAAACACTTTTGATAAATCGTGGCATCGATCTGGATATAGGTACGAGGATTACTCCGTGCTGAGCTTCCTGCGTTCCTTAGTTAAATTTTAAACATTCTGCGAGTGTCAATTTCTGATGTCGCGTTAATTAAGACCCAGAAGTTATAAATAGTGTTATAAATCTATTAAGCCGTGAGTACTTGTACGGCTTAATAGATTTGCCTAAAAATTGGTACATAGGTAGTTTAAAAACAGGAGATGAACATAGAAGCCTTTTTCGAAATCAGGAATGAAATCACGAATTTCTCTAATATCTTACGGGAACGGGATAGAACGGGATGGCACGGATGTCAAAAAAGATTTAGTTAAGAAAATAAAATAAAAATAAAGAATCTCTATTCCAATATCAAGTAACAATAATAAAAATAAAGTCCACAGGCAAAAAGGGCTTGTCGTTTATTTATTTATTTATTTTTTTTTTATGTACACAATTTTATTATGGCACATAAGGCGAACTTAATGCCATATGGCGTTCTCTACCAGTCAACCTTAGGGTTTAAGTAGAAAATCAGCGAAAGAGAAGGTACGGAGAATAAACTAACAGCAAAGAGTGTGAGAGAGAGAAAAAAAAAAGAAAATATTAAATAATATAGCTATACATACATACATTTATATCGAAATAATAGTTTTTTTTTCAAAATAATACAATTTAATTCTATTGTAGTCTGTAATTGTCCCTATATGGTAGAATGAGAACCTAACGGGTAACCGGGGCTCCGTCTCGACGTGCAGGAGAAGGAACGGGGTGGGTTTTAGTCAGTAAGAGTCTGACACTCCTTCCCGCCTCACCCAGGCGGGAGCAGTCATTCGATGATTTTCCCCCCTTAAAAAAAAATGGTAGAATATATAATGTTGTCTATGTGTGTAATTTCATTCTTTTTCTTTTACTCAAAAGTCTGTGAGGAATAAAGCTAAATATATATACATTGTGTTTTAATTATTAACATTAGGTTTCGATCCTGCACATGTCCTCTTTCCGATTGTCGTCCCGTAGGATAATTAAGAGTTTATAATATGCACTTGTAGCTAATGCTACAAGTGCATATTATAAATTAAATTATAATTGCATTAAGATTGCATTTATTAAAATGCAATCTTATGGCCTTTTGTAAAAAATAAATATATTCCGCAGTGGTAACCAACTAGTCTATGCACTTTAGAAGAATGCAGCTGCCATGAGCAAAACTTATAATAGTCTCACTGCTGGGTAAAGGTCTTTTCTCACAAAGGAAGGAATGTACATTGATTACCACGCTTGCTCAAGGCGGGGTGGTTATATCCTCGCCATATTCTTCATCACCGTATATTTTGTTGGTGTTCACATAAACTTACGATATTATATTACGTAAATACCGTACCTATAATAACGTCCAAAATAAATCAAAGACAGGCTTATCAAAAACTGGTTTTATGTCTTATAATTAATTATCTATACTAAAAGCACCGAAGACTTCGATTACAGGTACATTCATTACAGTCTAACTTAGTCGAGTATTTTGTCGTATTAATCCGTCCGTCGTTTCATTTTCATCACCAGAATCTTCATCCATGGGTCCACCACTAGCTCTCTGATTGATCAGCGTATTAGGAACAGTGTAGACCACACTGCCTAAGCCAGAATCTGGAATTTATACAAAAAACAAATTAATACATATTGTTACTGAAGCCACACATTAACAAAAATAACCTACAAAGAGGCTCGCAGTAATTAGAGAAGATCAACTCTATTATTTGTTTTTTATGAGATCGTAAGTAATCGATGTCGCGGACGCCATTCATAGACACCCGCAATTAGTATTGCGGATGTGAGCAATCGTGAGCTGCGCGACGTGCAAGAACCCCTCTGTGGTTCGAAACTAGTAGAGCTTTTCTCAATATATTCAAGTGAATAACCCGCGATTTTAGTTAATGAGATACAAGTGATTGCGAGCTTTTTTGAGAAATAAGGAATTGTACCTCTTTATGTTTATTTATTTATTTAATTTGTCAATTTATTTCAGGTATCATAGGCATGGGCCTATGATTGTTTAAAGTGTTTAAAGTGTTAGATATGGATCTAACACTTTAAACTAATACATTAATAAATTATAAATACTATACATACATACATTACAAATAAAATAATTACACAATTACTAGGTATTTAATAACTAGGTCACACGAATAGACGGCGTCGTGTGTCGCGCAGTGTCCGGTAGGCGAACTCGGGACCGTCGTTAGACTACCCCTCGCGGCCTAAACTCCTCTTTTATTAAGGTTGGCAGATGTTCAGTCGGGACCCTGACTGCAAAGGACTTGAAGTCCACTCTGTGTTGCGAGTGCAGCTGCTCTACCTTCAGATGAAGCTTTGCCTTGATCTTGATGAACTTTACAATCTCCTCAACACGATTTAGGCGTCGAAAGAATGTAAGTATTCTTTCACGTCACGCTACCGCGCCATCACTTTTCTATGAGACCGTTTCATTCTGGTCGAGCGGGCACATGTGTACCAAAATATGGCTCCTAGGTAGATTTTATTTAGCCAGGCTTTTACTCTACTAGTGGCTTTTCCCGACTGCAATTTTTTACTTTAACTTCTTTATCTTTCCTTTCATAAAAACCTTATTCTGATTATAAACTAAATTCGCTCCTTTAGGGCAGGACACAACAAGGAATAGCTATCGCCGTTACCGCAACTGGTAACTAGAATTACCCATATTCTAATTATGACAAACGTATAAAAAGAATTTGCGAAATCGGTTTAGCCATACCGAGCTTTGCGCTTAGCAATAGAAATTTTGCAAAAATCATGATAAGATACTCACTCTCGTGTGTAGGCTTGCTGGCCGTATAGTCGTTCCTCTTATACCAAAGTCTCTGCATCACTACCACGACCAGAATGAGGAGTAGCAGACAAGCTCCACCGATCGCCATCAGAGTCATATTCATACCGGCCATTCTGAAATGTTAAAAGGAAATATGAGACTCTTAACTAATTAAACCCATAAATATATCAGGCTCTTGAGTCATCTATAATATTATCATCATTACCGTCAGTCTGTGATAATCTACTGTCATATAGGAGGATTAGACAAGAATCGCACCCAAAAAGGAACACAATGTTTTTCAGTCCAAGGTCATTAAACAGTAACTATAATATATTATAGTTTATATTTTATGTATTATAGTAACTATAGTATTTTATATTTTATATATTATAGTAACTATAATATATTATAGTTATTATAGTTACTGTTTAATGACCTTAACAAACACAAATCCAGACTGTGTGCTGCTGCAGAGGAGAATTTTTAAAAGATATCCAATAACCTCAATATCACCTGTTATTTCTCCAAGGACTATTAAGAGGTCTTATCGAATTTAACGACCACTTTCCAGTGACCACAATATTATTTATAAGCTTTAAAATTGTAACCATGTTGGTTATTTAATACTTTGAATACGTACTTAACTTCGTCGGATGCTACCACCTCTGCCGGTACCTCCAAATCATCACTTTTGAAGAAACATGGTCTCACGTTCAAGCACCGGCACTCTTTCGTCACATTGTCGCATTTACCCTCGCAGTCCTCACATGGAACTCTATAATCAAATACACAACATGTTAAAATTATCTGTAGATTTAAAGAAAATAATAGAATTACTTAGTTTTAAGTTTCAATTTCCAAGAGCAGCATCTACTTAATAAGAATTAAATAATTGAACTACAACACTATGTACCGTACTCCAAGCTACTAACTTCTGAAGCAGCACTGCACGGCATATATGTTTTTAATTTTAAAAAATATATTTCATTCTTCCCACATACAGTTACTTTTATTATTTTACTAAATGAATGCTTGAGAATTATTGATCAGTTTACTTACGGTTTCATAGGTATGCAACTCTCTGTATCGTTATCGTACTCAAAGTCGATGTCACACTGGCACTCTCCAGAGAACGGAGAGCAGCGGCCATTTTTACAAGGCTGAATGCAAGGCTTGATGCAAAGACTGTAATCTGTTACATCATGCACATAACCAACGTTACATGTGCAGAAGTTGGGTGCTGAGCAGTGCCCATTAACACAGACTTTCGAGCAGTAAGGTTCGCAAACACCGAACCTATTATCATATCCATCATTGCAGCTGCAATTATTGGGTGCCAAACATTCACCGTTAATACAGGGTGGTGAACATATTGGTGAACAGCGTCCATCCATGAGTTTGTATCCCTCGTGACACCGACATACCTCAGGCGCTACGCAGTCACCGTTGCTGCACGAGCTGCACTTTGGCTTACAGGTCAGGTCGATACGGTCATATCCACTGTGGCAGATACAGTTGTTTGGCGAAATGCAGTCTCCATATTCGCACCCAACACATGCAGGCTTACACATCCAATTAGCTTTAGTTTTCTCATATCCTACTCCGCAGATGCACTTGTTGTGTGCTACACAGGTACCATTTACACAGGCGGGGTCACAGATCGGGATACAATTGTAAGGGTCGTTTGGATCGGGCCTGTAGCCGTCGTTACATTTACATTTGTTGGGTTCTACACATTTTCCGTGGACGCAGATATTGTCGCAAACTGGAACACAAGCGCCATTTAAATTGAGATAATTTTTGTGGCAGTGGCAGTCGTTGGGTGCCATGCAGTCCCCATGCTCGCAGTTGTCGCAGGTGGAGGGGATGCACACGGTGTTGTTGTAGAGCGTGAGCGGCGGCGTGCAGGCGCACTCGTTCACACCGACACAGGTGCCGTTGATGCAGGGGGAGTAGCACACCGGCAGACACTTGTCCTGGTCGCTGTCATACTCGTAGTTGGGGCAGCAAACAGTTTTCTGTAATAGAAATAATAATGGTACTTAACCTACTTGGTAAACACCTCGAACCTACATAGATAGATGTATGAATACTACAAAAATATACGGAATAATAGACCAAGGTACTATCTACTTGAACAATATGTACAAACAATGACCATACCTGTACTTGTTGTCGCTTCCCCTTTGCCCTGGAAAAAAATAAGACATGTGTTAAGCAAAGTGGATACTAACAAACATACATAATTATGAACATTTAGTGTTAGTTTATCATAACAATACATTTAAACCACACATAATTTTCGGAAATCAGTGCCCAGGTGCAGGAAAAAATAATATAGAAAAAGTCAAGGAAACTACTGAACCTGTGTTGTTGAGCAAATATGTACACTAAAATAAGGCTGTATCATGTACATGCTGCTCAGTTATTGTGTGTACAAGTACAATAAAGATTTACTCAAGACAGATAATATACCTATATACGTACTAAATTATATTTATAGGCTTTTAAGTAAGCCATACTCTTTGTAACCATTGGTCTACTCAGTAGCCTGTCTCTGTACTGGATTAATCTTTATTTTTGTACCTGTATAATGACGAAATGACAGTGCAGACTCTACATTGGGTGCCGCAGAACAGATATACATATGTTTTCTTGGAATTGATTGCAGTAGTGCAACAGTGTAAAATACCTTTACACTTACAAAGGGTACGTTAATTCTTTGTCACAAATCTATCCAACAATAACAACAGATTAGTAGGTACTACACCATGACGACAGGTAGGATTTCCAATCTAGTGTCGCGGAGAAACTAACGGGTAACCGGGGCTCCGGCTCGATGTGCAGGAGAAGGAACGGGGTGGTTTTTAGTCAGTAAGAGTCTGACACTCCCTCCCGCCTCACCCAGGCGGGAGCAGCCATTCGATGATTATCCCCCCTTAAAAAAAATTAGAAAAAAAATACTCTAAAGTACTCAAGCCAAAATTTGAAGATGAAAATGGAGTTATCGACGCTGCCCATGAAAACCCTAAACATTAGAGGATCAAGTGCGTGGCCGAACTTTTGGGGGTTAGAAATTTGAGAATTAGGGATCGGGATAAGAATTGGACTTCCGGAAACCCCACTCACATGGCGAAATACAACGCAAGAAATATTTCTCGTCGATTTTCTGTGAGGTCGTGGTCGAACCAATAAATTCGTGTTGAAGCATGTCGCTCCCACACTTAATTAATGTCATATATCAATAAGTATATGACATTGGACTATATCTAATAGCTGAGTGGCCGGATGTATGGCCCATATGACACAATACATGATTTACTGTGAACATCCGCTATATATTTACCTAATTAATATAAAATTATATAGAAAAATGAGTCACACACGTGCTCTAAGCTCTTGGACAAATGTAGACATGTTAGGACATTTCTCATAAAATAATACCAAAAAGATTATGTTGATTATGTTATGAAACCCGCTAAAATATTGACGCCAAATGCACACAATCACTCTAAACAATCTTATTTCTTGATCCCTCTAAAGTCATCCATCATTATTATCATATCACATCAGCCATCATTACAATCACGAACATCAGTTTGTAACCATCTGTAGTACTAATAACACCTTTTACCAATAAAAAAAACCTATAAAAATATCAAACCATTTTCGTAGTATTTTAAGACAAGCATACTAAAAGATAACTTCGAGTGGAAATGGACACCAGTGAATTGCAAACCACTTGCACATAATATACCTCTTTTTTCACCATTCATTTTGGATTACATTAAAACTTAGTACCGCACTCAACTTAATTGGGAAAAAGGCCAAAGGAATGTAAGTCTTACGTTGCTAACATTAGATAGATACAAAAAAAAATAAGTGAAATCTGACAATAAAGCTACAAAGTATATTCTACGTGCAAGAAACAACAAGAAACAAATATTTCGTTTTAAGAGCTTAAGACAAACAGAACAAAATATGTTTCATTAAAAAAGACAATATGGTCTTATTCATATAACAAATATTCCTCACAAAAATAAATTCATTATTTCGTTACATGAAAGAAACCCCTTGTTTTTTAAACCAGATAGTGTTAGTCACATAAATACAAAGCCGGTACTGTTGCCACAAAGTTCAGATCTTTGCTAATACCGGGAATGTCGAAAGCAAATTTCAATGTGTTTCTTATCTTACCAACTTTGAAATAAGATATAAAATAGAGTGAAAGTGGTGTGTGAAAGGAAGAGAGTTATAATTAAAAATTGCAGTGGTGTATATGAACGTATTTAGTGATGTTCATGATTGATTGATGAGTACGGGTGATGTAGTGCTAATATCTTATTTCCAGTGTACATGTATGAGTAACAGTATGATAACCAATCCGAAAGAAACATCCGGGAACTCGAACCGACAACTGATGGTTATATTTTCAAATGTTTGTAAATGAAGATTGAATCTCACACGCGTATGTACCAGGAGTACATACAGTTCTAGGAGACTTTCCATCGGCTATGATACTGCTTGCAATGACAGTGTGACCACCTGTTTGTCCTTACCTTAACTCGTCTTGTTGTAACTTCTTTAGGGCACATAGTGTCTTATTTGAACTTATACACTCGGATAATTCACTAGGGAAATAAGTAACGGTTTGTATATTAATTGTGTGTCTATATGTGTAGTGTATCAATTGTACCTACTCATTTTTTGTATCGTTTTATAATAAGTATTTATTTTGGATAAAATGTACAGATAAATCAGGATATATAATAACATTTCACGTTAAAATACAAGTTTAAATTGTATAAATGACTTATCAGGAAGTAATGTACTACGTCATCAATATTACCTACATATAAAAACAAAGTTATATTAAGAACAAAAGTAAATATCTTACGGAACAATTTCTTCGCAAACACCTGTATCACCTCTATTCAAAGATGCACAAAACTCAAATAACTGTAAAGTTATTACGAATAGTAGCACAACACGACCGGCCCTTGGTTCGAACATGTTCGTCACATAGGTAATACTAATTAACGCCAGTGGTTTCTATACAAATGCACGTTGTTGGTATATTCCCGCTGTTTTATAACATTAACACACGCAGAGAGGACAATGCGCAATGTGCGATAACAACTCAATAAGCACTTCCCTTCACAAGTAGTAGCTCACTGTCGGACAGTGACTATATTACCTAAACTTTGATTCAACTTCAGCAACACGCCGTATATCACAAAAATCTAACAACTACAAAACTAAAAAAATAAAAACAAACTCCTAATTAAAGCTTTAAATTTCAAACAATACAGGATGATTATTATTTCGCAGTGACGTTGCCGTGTGATTGGCTGAATGTGTTAGATGCGCGCGCACGACGAAAGCTCACGAGTATGTCGCGGTAAAGTCTTGATGTCGTTTAGTTGAACATCTTAATGCGGTGTGCGAATGACGAACAATGCCATTTTGCATAACGTTGGACAGTTTTATAGACGTCCGGCGCTTCGTAATAAATTTTCGTCGTGACGTCGTTCGGGATGGGAATACATAATTACAAATTCAAACTCGATATTAGTAAAATGTAAACGCACAGTGTACACAATTGTGTGAGGTTGGGAACAATATGTCACGTTTGCTCGCCGCCACGGCAAATGATACTGTGGTTTTAAACAGACAAATTGAATTAATATTCTTATCAGTCTTTACTTCAGTTGTGTATGTAAATATTATGTGTATATTTATGACACACTGTCCATTTTATATTTGAAGTGGTTCAATTATTCATAGCCAAACTGCAACGTCTACAATGCCCAATTAAACCTCATAAAACTAATGACAATCAAAACAAAACATTGTACGTCGTGTTTCTTATGAATTATGCATGAAATTAGTTGGTATCGTGTATCGACAAGTAAGCGATGCTTCTTATTTAGATGGTAAATGTACGTTATGATTTGCTGTATTAGGCTCACCACTGGACTGGTGGTACAAGTTAAAATAATAATTATCATAATTTGGTGACAAGGTCACCAAATTATGATAATTAAAATCTGCTCGGAATCTTACATGTTATTGCACTACAAAAATACATGGATAAGAAGTAACCACGTAACGATTTTATGTGACTCTTTATCTTACCTTCCTAATGATTACATTTTTAGTTTTAGTTGTTCAAAAGTGGTGCATATCTTGCTTCAGGTCATTACAATTATTTAAGGAATTTAGTAAGATACGTAAGCTTCAAATGCAATGTTAATCTTTCCTCATCCACACTCAAACGTTAATGTTTACAAAGTTAATTATTGGGCCACAATTTACATTATACTCCAGCTTGTGCCATAAATTAGTAAATTAAAAAAAAATCCTTCATCGTTTTGATTGGCAAAATCTTTGATTATTCGTAATAGACCAGTAGCTAATAGACTTTGCTACATGTAAGCCAAAGGAAAGTCGATCTATGGCTCGTTATAAATTCCGAATTTGAGATTCTTATAACATTTTTCAGAAGACCTCGTATTCAGAAATTGCATTGACAACCAGTCCAAGCCACAAATCATAATAATGACCTCTAAATCGTGATCTTTACAACAAAATATTACCTTAATAAATGCCCCTCGCCCCCCCCCCATGCCTCGAAACTAGTACACTTTTTCTCAGTACATTTACGTGAGTAACCCGCGATTTTTAGTTAATTTAGTTCAAAATAAATTCATCTACAAATAGTAATATAGAGCAGCCTGTATCTAGCATTTCGGTATCAATGCAACAACAATAACGACTTCCTCGTAACAGTTAACTAATTATTATAACGTGTGACTACGTTTAATTTAATTAACTAATATCAAACCGAGGTAGAGAACCGACAAACATATACATTCTCAATCGTAAATAAACCTTAAGAAGGATGTACTTCTTACACAATAAGGATAACTACAACTAGACAAATTCTTTACTTGTTTTGAGATGCGCGTCTAGTGATAATTTATATTTATTTCTCATGACTTAAAAAAAATAACAAAGTTTCAAATTAAATATTTGTATATCCATCAGCATAGCGTATAGCCATCAGCCCTATTAATTGATACATTTTTCAGTAAAACAAGTATTTGTAAAAGTGTCAGCCGACTTTACAACACAATCATTTCACGTCTCTTATCAACATTCGATCTTTCATATATTGCATAGCTAACT